GCTAGCCTGGCGTCCGGACGCTTCCCTGAGCGCTGGAAGTGCGGGAAACTGGTCCTGCTGAGAAAGCCGGGACGGCCTGTCGATTCGGTCGCGGCCTATAGGCCTATCGTGTTGCTGGACGAGGCGGGTAAACTTTTTGAGAGGGTGCTCTCTGCCCGCATCGTCCGGCACCTCTGCGACGTTGGTCCCGATCTGTCGGACGCCCAATTCGGTTTCCGAGAGGGGCGTTCGACGATCGATGCCGTGGTCCAAGGACACCGCCAACACCCCCCGGGCTGGGCGTAATCTGCTACGCGGATGACACGTTAGTTACGGCCCGGGGGACTATTATCCACCGTGGAGCCACCATGGTCAGATGGTCGTTCCGGCTGGAGACTCCACGCGCTGGATTCGTCGCCGTGGAGGGTCTCCAGCCGGTCATCGCCGAGTGGGCAGGGCGGCAGCATGGGACCCTTTCCTTCCGGCTGACGCAGGTGCTTTCCGGGCACGGTTGATTCGGAAAGTACCTGCACTCGGTCGCCAGGAGGGAATTGAGTCCCGCCTGCCACCACTGCGACTGCAGTGATGACTCGGCCCAGCATGGGCGACGCAGCGCCGGGCCCTCACTGCAGTCATCGGAGTGGATCTCTCGCTACCAGCCGTAGTACGCTCCATGGCCGGTAGCGACAGTTGTTTTACCGCGGTCGCAATCTTCTGCGAGGAAGTAATCTCGTAGAAGGAGGCGGCGGAGAAGGCCCGGGAGGACGACCTCCGCTCGGACCCAAACCGCCGCCGGCGAACCGGGCGGGGGAGGCGCGCTCACCTGCGCCTCATGCCGCCCTGAGTGTAGCCGCGGGTGGACGGGATGGGTTTTCCCCTCCACCCGCATTAGTTTGGCCAGCCGCGAGGGGGCGGCGTCCGCGTGTGCCAGACGTCGCCTAAAGAGAGGACGTTTAGAGACGGAGCCCGCACCAGGAGCGGGCCGGCGCTGGGAGGGGTCCAGAAGGCGATAACTACCTGGACCCCCCTAAAATAGAAGCGCAAAGAGGGCACACCGTGTGGTTTGAGTCGGTTCGGGTCCGTCACACCCGAGAACCCCAGCGGGGTGACGGTCCGAGGGGATTTCCACACGTAAAAAAAAAACAAAAAAAAAAAGGCTGTTTGCTATAAGTCTTTCTTTACTAACTTTTAAACTTTCGCGTTCCATGATAATTAATATTATTTTAACGGGAATTAACGCGATCTCTTATTTAGGGTATTACATACCTCTGGTTTGCCTTACGTTTCGACCAGGTTGCACCGGCCGTGGTCACAGGCTGACTGGCTCATCGGCGCACGCCCTCCGTCGTCGAATCCGTGAAGTAGAAGGCTCTTCATCTACCCGCACATTTTCGATATTGTTGTTGTTTTTGTGTCGCCATGTACCGTCACATACCACACTAACAGTGTCCCTATTCTGTAAGCAAACCGATGAGTGCCTATTCTGGTGTTTAACCGATTGCGCAGAAAAGCGAGGTGGTATGTTTTTTAACACTGGATTCCACGCTGTAAAAAATTTAAAACCATCTTCCCGATTGAAAGTTTTATGCTTTTTAATCTTAATCGCTTCACGTACAACTCTTGAGTAAAAGTTACGTTCGGTGGAGAGGACTTGCGTGCGGTGAAATTCAATCCAGTGGTTGATGCCTGCATCGAGTGCATGTTCTGCAATCGCTGATTTGCTCGTCTGTCGGTTCTTCACAGCAGCGATATGCTCTTTGACCCTTTCTGCAACAGTCCGCTTAGTTTGGCCTATGTATGAGCTTCCGCAGCTGCAGTCTATTTTATAAACACCCGGAGTTTGTAGTGGCAATATATCCTTCGGTGTGCCGACGATGTTGTGAACCTTTATGCCTGGTGTGTATACTGTCGGAATGGAATATTTCTTTAGCACAGACCCGATCTTGTCCGTAACTCCCTTGACATAAGGCATATAGGCCGGTTGCCTGTTCACTTCTGGATACTTGCGTCTTATTTTTTGTTGCTTCCGTCCTCCTTTCACTTGATATCCGTTACCTTTGAGTACCTCCTGAACATGTTTTAGCTCCTGTTCTAAATGTTCAGGGTCACAGAGATCGTAAGCTCTGTTTTTGAGTGAAGTCATAACAGATTGCAAGTGCCGGGGGTGATGATGAGACGTGGCGTGTAGGTATCTGTCCGTATGAGCAGGATTTAAAGCCTTCTCTTCAAAATGTTCCATCCAGATGTTGGCAAGTACTGGGGCTACAGGACTTCCCATCGCGACACCATCATTCTGGAGGTAATGTTGACCTTGGAAAAGGAAATAGTTGCCATCTAAACAGTGTTCAAGTAGATCCATATAGTTTAACGGCAGCCCGTTGTCTCCCAGTAGGTCTTTTACGACGTTTAGGCACTCCTTTATTGGAACATTGGTGAAAAGCGACTCCACTTCAAAGCTCACCATGACGTAATCCGGTTCCAACGACAGATCTTTTATGATTTGTATGAAGTGCCGTGAGTCTTTCACAAAAGACGGTGTTTTGCCTATAAGTGGTTGCAATACTGAAGCAACGTGCTTTGCTAGATCGTAAGTAGGAGAAGCAATTTGACTTACAATAGGCCGCAGCGGTACGTCAGGCTTGTGTATCTTAGGCAGACCATATAATTTCGGTGGCTGGTGTGACTTTGGTTTGTACAGTCTGTTGTACTCGTCTTCTGAAAATAGGTCCTCATTATCCCGGATTAGAGATCGTATTTTTCGCGTTACTCTGGCCGTGGGGTTGTAAGTTACCGGTTTATAAACCTTATTATCACTCAACAGTTCAAGTATTTTACTTTTGTAATCAGTTGTATTCATCACTACGGTAGCGTTTCCCTTGTCGGCCTTAAGCACTAAAATATCCTGGTTATCCCTAATGTTTTCTAATGCTTGACGCTCTTCGATAGTGATATTACTAGCCGGAAGCTTTGACCGACGTAATATTACCGCAACGTCCTGTCTTAGGATATCGACATCGCCGGGCGGTACTTTGTTCCGTGCAATCGATTCCTCGACGCTACTGATTACATTCTCGAACGGTATTCGTTTATTTACGCTTTATTTTCTGTATACCGACGATTATATTCCTTCGAGAACTTTCGATCAAAATTTACACTACATAACTCGAAGGTACGACTCGCTTGTAAGAACGTAACCCGGTCACACAAATCATAGTCCGCTTGAGATAGATTAACACTGCACTTTAATTGTAACGCATATGACTCCCTCTGTATACACTCCAAATCACTGTGTTTGTTTCGAATTAATTGTCTCAGAAGACGTGCACTCGCGTTTTTTAGAATTTCACGTGAAAATGCGATATCACTACGCGGTTTTATTCGAACACACAAAGGTAATAAGTCCCAATCGCGACACTTCACAAGAAATATTAACGATATTTCCATTCGCGCTCATTTTTTACGTAAATATTCTAGATGACGCACTTGTTTTAGTAGTAGACGGACTTAGATGTTAAAGTAGCCGTGAGATCGGATGGGTCCTTGTCACACTGTGTGTACCGTAAACCTACTCATACGGACAGATACCTACACGCCACGTCTCATCATCACCCCCGGCACTTGCAATCTGTTATGACTTCACTCAAAAACAGAGCTTACGATCTCTGTGACCCTGAACATTTAGAACAGGAGCTAAAACATGTTCAGGAGGTACTCAAAGGTCCGTTACCTTTGAGTACCTCCTGAACATGTTTTAGCTATATCAAGTGAAAGGAGGACGGAAGCAACCGAAAATAAGACGCAAGTATCCAGAAGTGAACAGGCAACCGGCCTATATGCCTTATGTCAAGGGAGTCACGGACAAGATCGGGTCTGTGCTAAAGAAATATTCCATTCCGACAGTATACACACCAGGCATAAAGGTTCACAACATCGTCAGCACACCGAAGGATATATTACCACTACAAACTCCGGGTGTTTATAAAATAGACTGCAGCTGCGGAAGCTGATACATAGGCCAAACTAAGCGGACTATTGCAGAAAGGGTCAAAGAGCATATCGCTGCTGTGAAGAACCGACAGACGAGCAAATCAGCGATTGCAGAACATGCACTCGATGCAGGCATCAACCACTGGATTGAATTTCACCGCACGCAAGTCCTCTCCACCGAACGTCACTTTTACTCAAGAGTTGTACGTGAAGCGATTGAGATTCAAAAGCATAAAACTTTCAATCGGGAAGATGGTTTTAAATTATCTACAGCGTGGAATCCTGTGTTAAAAAACATACCACCTCGCTTTTCTGCGCAATCGGTAAAACACCAGAATAGGGACTCATCGGTTTGCTTACAGAATAGGGACACTGTTAGTTTGGTATGTGACGGTACATGGCGACACAGAAACAACAACAATATCGAAAATGTGCGGGTAGATGAAGAGCCTTCTACTTCACGGATTCGACGACGGAGGGCGTGCGCCGATGAGCCAGTCAGCTTGTGATCACGGCCGGTGCAACCTGGTCGAAACGTAAGGCAAACCAGAGGTATGTAATACCCTAAATAAGAGATCGCGTTAATTCCCGTTAAAATAATATTAAGTCTTTCTTTGTATTAAAAATATATAAACTTGTTAGTAGTGAATAAATCGTACTTAGATTCAATAGAAACAGTGTAATAGTTATTATTTAGTGTTATAAATTCACAGTGCTCTCAAATAACAACAAAAACCTATAAAATATTGAAACTCAGTGAATGTGTTTAGCTAACTACCCGACACACAAATATTATAAAATTGGCAATACATTAGGCGGAACTCGCAAATATTAATGCCATCCTTATACCATCGTGAGAAATCAGTGATACTTAAAATATCGGTAGTGTTAAACAATTAACCCATATATAAAACTATATTAAATATCAGGGGCCGAATTCGCGGCCAGTGACCACTGCACCGGATTACTACGCTAGAGGGCGGCCTAATTAAAATACTAAATTAATCATGAAGTGTTGAACCTGTGGCAAGTTCATGTCGTCGAAGGTATTGATTGAGGCAGTTCACTGTACTAAATGTGAGGCCGCTCATCACCCAACCTGTGTTCCAGCATCGGCATTGACCCCAAACAAAGAATTTCGTTGTCCAGGTTGCATACCCCAATCATCTGTAGGCAAGGAGCCTAAGACGCGATCGCCGACCAATCTGAGGCAGCCTGAGGAACGTACTATTGAAAACAGCACTGAACTCGTTCGAGAGATTAGGTCACTCAGAGAGGACATAGGGGCCATGCGGGAAGAGATTCGGAAGTACCGGGCTGAGCTCACAGATATTAAGACCACACTCAGCCATGATAAACGGCGACCTGGAGACTATTAGCGGTTGGTCCTATAGGTTCGGTTTGACTGTGAACCCCACAAAGTGCCAGGCTATCATCTTGGGCAGTCCACGTATGACCAGAAGGCTAGATCAAGAAAAACTACCATCCCTAGTATATAACGGGTCAATCATTCCCCTAAGTTCTACTGTGACGGATTTGGGACTGTTTATTTATTCATTTATTTATTCTTTATTGTACACACTGAACACATACATATATATAAGTAACAAGGAAATGTCATGTACAAAGGCGAGATTAACCCAAAACTGAGTTTTCTTCCAACAGAGAAACGTAAGGGCACAGTCATGCGTACGTAGGAATCAACACAGAAAAGCATAAAAATTAAACAAATACCGACATAAATTAGAATAGCAAAATATATTATACGTTTACAAACATATAAAGGGTGTCTCAGAATGTTTTTCGTTTTTGAATTGACCAATACGCGCCAACCGCAGGTAGCAGGGGGAGGGGAGTGGTCTTAAACGCTTGGCCGGCTTGTTAAGTTTAGTAGCCATGAATCGTTTTGCGTGCGGGCGTTTTATAAAAACAACGATTCCTACACTATTGTTCGTCGTCTCTACAGGACACATTTTAATTTAACAAGCTTAAATCATGTGCCAAGTGCCAATTTAATTAAGCATTGGGTGTGCAAGTTTGAAGAGACTGGGAATATAATGCCGAACAAATCGTCTGGGCGCAAAAGGACATAAAGAACGAGCATGAACGTCGACCGCGTTCGCCAGTCTGTTATGGACGACCCACGAGTCGTTGAGATTGCGCGCAGCTTCTCTTAATTTAACCAAATCTACGGTTCATCGCATTATTTCGAAAGACTTACATTTTCACCCCTATAAATTGTTATTATTCAAGAAATGAAGCCTGATGATCCTGATAAACGAGTCGAATTCTGCAGGACAATGAAAAACCGTTTTAGGAGTTTCAATAACATCTGGATCTCCGACGAATCGAATCTTCACATAAACGGTCACGTGAATAAACAAAATTGCAGATACTGGGCTTCTGAGAATCCGCTAGAACTGCACCAGAAGCCATTGCACTGGCCAAAAGTTGTTGTTTGGGCTGCCATATCAAGTCAAGGAATCTTCGGTCCTTATTTTTTTGAGGATGACCGAGGTCGAACTCAGACCGTTAATTCTGATCAATATTGCCATATAATCCGGACTTATTTGGCTACAAAAATGCAAAACCAGTATGGCTACAACCGCAACACCTTTTTCCAGCAAGATGGAGCCACTTCTCATGTTACAAATGACTCATTAGCGGCTCTTCACGATTTATTCCCTGGAAGAGTGATAAGTCGGCGAGGAGACATCAACTGGCCACCGAGGAGCCCTGATTTAACGCCTGCTGATTTTTTCCTATGGGGCTACCTAAAAAGTAAAGTTTACAATCCATTGCCGCCCAATCTGAATGTTTTAAAGCAAAGAATCACTAAAGAAATCAACTCTATTCCAAGAGCGATGCTCCAGCGAGTGATTGAAAATTTTAGCTCCAGGTTAAATGAGTGTGAAAAAGTAAACGGTGCTCATTTGCAAACGGTTGTTTTTCACAAATAAACTTCAAGAACTGCTCTTTAATTTAACAATAAATAAAACGAGTTTTAATTGATATTGTTGTTTTTTATTTATATCTAAAAACGAAAAACATTCTGAGACACCCTTTACATATATATATATATATATATATATATATATATATATTAGACTTGCAACGAATATTCGGTTACTATTCGGTATTCGGCCTATTCGGCTGCTTTTATTATATTCGGCCGAATACCGAATATCTACATATTATTCGGCCGAATACCGAATACTTAAATAATATATTTTGTCATTGAGAAAGAATTGGTAAAATGAAAAATTAAAAACGATTGATTCCGTATATATTCATATTTTTATTTCTGTTATAATCATTTAAGTAGTCATTGGTGCATAACACAGGTACATAATCATCTTCTGAATTGGAAAAATGGAGGATTCTATGTATTTGAATTATTGTGGTAATCAAAATTTAGAAGGGTAAGGTTCTCATTTCTTTTATAATCATTTATTAAGTAGTCATTGGTACATAAAACAGGTACATAATTTAATTCACGTCTGTACAAGTTTTTGGCGCTAAAATCCAGCCGAATACTTTTGCCTAATATTCGGCTATTCGGTCAGGGGCCTCGCCGAATATTCGGTATTCGGTATACTGCCGAATATACTATTCGTTGCAAGTCTAATATATATATATATATATACACATACATACATACATACATACTAAGGGTCTGATTATTGAAGGGACAGATAATAATCCCTGGTTCTCTTCCTGAACACGCTAGGAGAAGGGCTATTGCGTATTGCACGCGGTAAGGCATTCCATAGTCGAACAGCTGCAACGCTAAAAGAGTTGTCATAACGACTCGAAGTGTGGGAGGGAGTTCGAAGGAGGAGAGAAGAAGAAGAGCGACAAAGATTGTTCCTGGGAAGAAGCGCTCACGGAGATATGAAGGACAAGTGGGGTTGTATAAAGTTGAATAGAGTAAGGAAAGAATATGGAGATCTCGACGCCGCCGAATAGGTAACCAATTTAGCTGTTCCCGAAATTCCGAAACATGATCGAACCTTTTAAGACCAAATATGAAGCGGATACAGAGATTTTGTAACCGTTCTAGCTTACCCCAGAGTTCTTCGGTAGCGTCGAGAAAAGAAATATCAGCATAGTCAAGAAGGGGAAGAAGCAGGGATTGAGAGAGGAGGACTTTAGTCTGAAAAGGAAGAAAATTTTGAAGACGTTTGAGAGAGTGATATGTTCCAAAAACCCTTTTACTCACCTCTGTAATGTGTGTGGTCCATGACATGTTGCAGTCCATAAAAACCCCGAGATTTTTTACTTGTGTCGAATATGGTATAACAGTCTTGTTATAGGACACTGGAGGAAGTGAAGTGTGATCAAGGCTATTATACATGTACCTGCCACCAATAATGATAGCTTGAGATTTAGCGGGATTGACAAGCAGCCCGAACGATTTTGCCCATGTACATATGTTTTGCAGATCATTATTGATGGCAGTGACGGCTTCTGTGATTTCATCAACCTTGAAATGGCGGTATAGCTGCAAATCGTCTGCATAAAGATGATGACGAGAAGAAATAACTTTGGTGATTTCATTAATGAAAATGGAGAAGAGTAGAGGAGATAGTACGCCACCCTGGGGCACGCCTGCAATAAGGTCACACCAGTCTGAAGATGACTCATCCGTGCGAACCAGTTGCGTGCGACCCCGAAGATAAGAATTGAACCAAGCGATTACAGAATCAGATACATTCAGAGACGATAGGGTGCCCAAGAGGATGTCAAAATCAACAGAGTTAAAGGCGCTGCTGAAGTCCAGTAGTACCAATACTGTCAGTTGTTTATTTTCCATAGCGAATCGTAAATCGTCTGTTATTTTAACTAAGGCGGTTACAGTACTATGGCCAGCACGAAAACCAGATTGGTATGGACTCAACAGGCTATTAAAGGAAAGAAAACTGTTCAGTTGACTCCGGACAATCCTCTAAAGCACCTTGGAAAGGATCGGGAGAATGGATATAGGTCGAAAATGAGATACTAAGGAAGGGTTAGCAATTTTAGGTAAGGGGATAACATGGGCCTTCTTCCAGGATGATGGAAATACGTTTTCTTTGAGAGAGAAATTTATGATATGAGTGATAGCTGGAACGACGTCACTTACAATAGGCCGCAACATTTGTTGTTGAATGCCATCATCACCTATTGCTTTTGTGGAGATAGATAGGATATGTCTCTTAACGTCACAGCCTGTAACCGGTTCAAACGAAAATGAGCTACATTGAGGCAATGGAAGACCAGCTAGATAGCTAAGAGTAGATGCCTTGTCTGAAGTATCTACACAAGCCGGTGAAGTGGAAAAATGCCTATTCAGCACATTGAGATCAATAGTAGTTGAAGTGTGGTTAGTCGCTTTACCAATACCAAGAGATCTAAGGAATCGCCATACCTGTGGTAAGTTGAAATTTTTAATGGAATCGTGAATGTGGCGTCTTTTCGCATCCCGACACAGACAACTGCAGCGATTTCGGAGAACTTTATAGACTGACCAATTCTCATCCGAAAAGTTCTTTTTATATCTTCTCATGGCTTTATCGCGCTTGACCATTAGATGCTTAATTTTTTCGGAAAGCCAAGGAGCAGGAAGATTCTTAACTCTTACGTTTTTTAGTGGCGCATGTTTATCGAAAAGATCTAAGAGTATTTTATTGAAATTTTCAATTTTAGTGTCAATATCGCCACAATTGTATATAGGAGACCAATCTATTTTTTCGACATCCCCTCTAAAACATGCTTCATCAATGTTTCTAAAACTGCGTAAAACAATGTATTTAGGCTTAGGTTTAGGAGAGATAGTTTTGTAGGAGAGAAAAATGAGGTCATGGTATGAGAAGGGAGCAGAAAGTTGTCCATGAGCGGCAATTTTTTTAACATCCGAAACGAAAATTAGGTCTAAGAGAGAGGGATTAGAATGAGGAGCGTGATGTGTTGCGTTTAACGGGAGAATATGCATGTTAAGTGAGGAGACCAGGGACCGGAGTTTTCGGCTGCGTACATCATTCTTGAGTAGACACGTGTTAAAATCCCCAAGAATAATAGTATCACTGTATAAGGGTGATAAATTTTCCAGCTTGGTTTCGAAAGACGAGAAATAGTCAATATGACAAGAAGGGCTATAATAAACAACCACTAGCAATTTAGTGTGATGGAAATCTATTTCTAGGAAAAGGTGTTCTGCAAAGCCAGAGTAATTGCTAGGGGACTGATCAATGACTCTAAATGTGAGATCAGATCGTAAATAGATTGCAACCCCACCATAGCCCTTGCCAGTTCTGTCATTTCGTATAAGCCGGTAGCCTGATAATGCATATCGTGAAGAAAGCAACGTAGGTTTAAGGAAGGTTTCAGAGATAAGGAC